GAGGAATTTATTAAACTCTTTGTGGCAAGTTCCATGATAGTCAGATGGTAGGAGTTTGCCCACACTGGAAGCTTTACTCCCTTGTGGGTGAATAAGGGAAGTGAAGCTTCACTGCACCTTCACCTGGGCTGGTCTCCTAAGTGAGCAACGGGACTGGTGTAAAAGAGCACCAGTGGTTTCAGCAGGGATTTGAGATGCTTGGGAATTACGGCCCTAGTTCTTCCTTAACACAAAGGGCTGTTGTCACAGAGAATAGCGCACGATGTACAGGGACCCGGTATAGTACCGTGGTTAAGAATATAAACTTCAGTGCCAGACAGACCTGGATTTAAATCCCACTTCCAACATGTACTACCTTGGGGACCTCTTAGAAGTCACTTGACCTCCTGGTCTTTAGGTTTAGGTTCCCAACTTATAGAAGGGGAATAAAAATATTCTTCCTGATTCATAAGCTTGTAAAAATGACATGCTGTGTATAAAACACCACACTGGTTAGGACACAAACTGAACATTCAATAAGGTAGCAATTTTTTTCCCTTATTAAGAGAGAGAATCAGGAATGTAAACTTTAATCTAAATATAAGAGAAGACCCTGACACAGCTGTCTCTTGAGGTTTTAGAATGAATTAGGGAAAGAAGTCTATGGAATAACTTTTCCTGGAAATCTCTGAAAGTAATGCTGGTCTTTATTTTCCATGTTGACTTAAGTTGCTCTCCCATTGAGATTGGAACTAAATAATTAATGGCAACAGCCTCCAAATTAGGAAGATGTACTCAAAATGTGCCCAAAGAAACACTCTTTTAAGAAGAAGGAAAATCTATCTTTGTTCCTCTTCTTAAATGTGGTACGTTGCGGCACATACACTTCACTTAAACATCTGTTTAGAGGTGTGTATTAATGGAATTTAATGGGGAGGACAGGCTGCAGGGGAAGCAAATATGCTTCATTTGTTTCTCACCATTTGCCATGAACCACATTTCTCTGTTTCTTCTTTACTTGGCCTTTTTCAGTGGTAACAATTAAGAACTAGGGACATATGGAAACTGTTACTTTCTTGGAACTAGCAGATGGAAAAGTGAGGTTATCATGGCCTACCTAAGAAGCAGGGAAATATTGCCTGTAACCACTTGAGCCCCCTGAGTTATAATGACAATATTTCTTGGAGTCCAGAGCAGTCCTTGCTTAAGGATTTTGAGTGCCTGTCTCATTTTAATCAAGAGACTGGTTCCAACAATATGTTATGTGTTTAATTTCAAAATTCAGCCTGGCTGCACTGTATTGACTTATACAATATGTATGTTTAAATAAGTAGAAAAAATGGTCCCCGAATTACCAGGGTCCAAAAATTTATAGAAATCTAGAAAGTGTAGAGAATACCTTTAAAGTAAAAGCACATCATAGAATTTGAAAAGTAATGATAACTTTGCAGTGTTACAGTATAAATGAACAAATTAATCAACAGACCGACCAGTGATGTAAATACTGTCTGCATAGAACTGGACAAGGTTGGGGTGGGAGGTTGTGAATAGTACAGAAGGAATGTAAGACTTGACCTCTGTGCTTACTCAGGGGTATAATAACGTAAAGATTATAATGACAGGCACAATTGTAGAGTTCGTATTATATAGGTGTAGGAATTTCAGATTCTGGTGTCTTTTCTATGCAGCTTTAGAAAATGTGTGTATGTCTCATTTCTTCTGTAGTATTCTAAGCTGACTGCTCCTTTTTTCATATCAGCTTTATCTGAGCCTCTCTTTGGAATTCCACACCAGCAACTTTTTGTGTCCCTGCTTGTCTGATCACCTTGTCAAGATAATCATGTTTATCAGAAGTTCTAAACCTTTCTGTGCTCAGAACTACTTGGGTGTCTTAATAATATTTGGAAGATGCCCTTCCAATTGTCATAACTAAGATTTCTGGCCGCTCCTTTCTGTCAATCAGTGTTTATACATCTTCAGACTACCTCCAGGCTCTGACCTACTGCTTCTTTTATGTCAAGAGATTGCCAATTCCTACTCACACTATCCAGCCCCTGCCATTTATTTTGCATTTTTCCTTAACTATTGATTCTCTGCCCACCAACAGCATTATCCAGCACTAAAATTTTCCACAGTGGCCTGAGTTGGGAAGATCGGTGACCCAAGTATGACAGAGGAAAGCAACATTAATTAGAGGGCCAAGAACTGTGTATATAAAAATTTCTCTCAAATCTCATACAACAGAAGTTCTCAAACTTTATTGTGGGTCAGCATTCTAGGGACACTCTTTGAGTATCACTGTCACACATGAATTAAAATCATTTCCAGATCACATATGATCAAAACAAAAGCCCATCTCACTTTGCTCTGTGCCAGGGAGTTCTTCACCTGAAAGGCCTTGCAGACTCTTTGATAGGATTCTAGGTATACCTGGAATTCCACCAATTATATTTTATATTACATTAGCACGTGTGATATATCTGGATGCTTGAGAGGGACCATTACTCTCAGAAGATTACCAAATAATTCATTTTCCCAAAAAGAGCTTAAGGACCCCACTGACAACATGCAAAGAGAGTCAAGCCAATGCATTTGAGGAGACATTGATATTAGAATGTAGCAGAAGAAGGGCTTTACAGATTAGAGAGCCAGTGTATAATTCTCCTGTTCTTGTTATGGTTAGTAGAATAATTCCACTAGTACTACATGGCCCTTTGTAATCAATTACTCCATTCTTTGATTATCCACTGACTCCGATCAAGATGCAGATCAACCAACCAATCAGCCAGAAAGTTTAGACAGAGCACCTATTATAGGCCTAGCCTAGTGGACCCAAAGATTGCAGAGTCCCTGCTTGCAGGTAACTCAGGGTGAGGACCCTGACTTCTACGATTAAGCCCCATTAGGGTAAGAACCTTGCTTTTCTTGCTCCAGACTGTCTGTGCCTAGAAGAGCACCCAGTAAATCATAGGAACACAACGAATCATTATTAAAGGAGTGAATTAGAGACCTCAGGGGTTTGTATTGTAAATGTCATAATGATATTGCCGGCTAAACAAAATGCCCACAGTGGTTGACTGGACAAAGCCCTTACACCTGGAGAGTACTGCTGACTCAAGGAAATAAGGGACTTAACTAAGACTGCATATTAATAAACTGCAAACCTGCTTCAACAGGGAAAACAAACTGAAGTTTAAATATGTCACAGTTTCAAAATCTTTCTTTACACCAGATGTTTAGCACAGGACTCAGTTAAACGACTGTAGGCGAAGAAGATCGCCTTTTCACTGCATCCTTTTCTGGAGCAAGCAATAATGTTGATGGCAAAGGATTCAGGAAACGGAATGCATGCAACCCAACCACATACAGTCATCATGCTCCCTTCGGTAAGTGTGAGGCAGGCAAGCCCTTACCTAGATTTCAAGCTGATGAATCATCTGTCTAGTTTCACTAAAACCCCAAGGGACTGCTCCTCTGAACAAGGGGCTGAAACCCTGTCAGCCTCTGGATACATTTAAACAAGGACAGTATGTTAAAAGGAAGCAGGTTATGGGATTTCCTGAGGAATTCGTAGTTTCTTAGTGCATTAAATCCTCCTTCAATTCAGGAAAAATAGCCTTTTTATCTCAAAAATCCTGAGAAATGTATTTTTAAAATTGTGTACAGATGCTGTATCAAATAAATAAACAGAAATATTAGCAATTTTCTATGTTTGGCCACCCATTCATTGAAACTGGGGTCCCTCCTATTCCATGATCTCCCCAGAAGCACACACACATCCTCATACACATTAGAAGAAAGAAAATTCCTTCTTCTTGGGAAACACCTGTCTCGGGAATTCTTGGCTGTGCAGCCTCTGAGCATGCACAGGGTCAAGCATACAAATGGTGCAGTGACTCTTTTGGAAGTCACATTCGTCCCTGAAACTTCAGTCACCTGGAGACTGCATGTCTCATTGCCTGCAGCAGCTCAAACCTGACAGTGTGGAATGAGTTTAGAAATCTCATCTGAGCAACAAAATCTGAACTGAGTTTAAACAGTAACATCTATTTAATGCCGAAATTATCATTCACGGCAACTTTTGCTGACTGGGGATTTTTTCTTTTGCTATTGGGCTGTTATAATAATCTTGCTCTGGTTTGGACTGTGTGTGTGTGTGTGTGTGTGTGTGTGTGTGTGTGTGTGTGTGTATGTGTGTGTGTGTGTGTGTGTGTGTGAAAGGAAGATAACAGGACTCAGTTAACTAGTACATCAGTTAGCCGCACATCTCTATTTTCACACATAGAAAATTTCTGCTGCTTCTGCTGTGCGAACACACATACACATAATTCCTGGAATCCTTACCCCATTCATACCCACTGCTTTCAGACACACACTCACAGGGCAGCGAAGCACAAACTCCCTACATGTCAACATCAAGCCAGGCTGAAGATGTAAATAGGTGGATATGGCACCAGGTGGATGTGTAATCAGTAATAAGAAATACATCGAGCCCCATAATGAAAAGAAATCCCCCAAATTGTTCAGGATCCCCCCTCCCCCTTCCATTCACTGATTTATTAACCCTGAACAAAGATGTAATTGCAGGGTCTCAGAAACAACTTTTTTCTTTTTTTTTTCTTTTTTGGCATTTGTTTTGTTTGACTTTGAATTTCTTAATATCTAGTCATGTCATTTATTGCCTGTTTTCTTCACTCAGTTGCCCAACGTTCCCCCCACCCCCCAAAATGAAAGAAGCATCAGCTTCTGAGTCTTAAGGATGAGACCTCTGCATTTTCTCTGCTTGTTTAGGGCAAGAAATGAAGTGCTGCCTCTTTAACTGGCAGAAGCATGCAAGAGGAGCGTACCTTTAATTTAGTGCTGGGATACCTCACTTGCACCCTGGCTGTTGTCTTATTGGAGACGGCAGCCTGCCTGAGATCCTCTAGCACTGAAATAATATCATCCAGCACGCATTTCTTATCCTGATTTCTCAACACACACAGATGGGAAAAAGTATAATTATAGCCCTTGTGGTTCACCTTCATTTCCAGCACGGCTCGGTGGGTCTGCAGGATCCCCTCAGCCTGGAGCAAAATATTGTCCCCGGGTGGGGAGAGGAGGATCACCCTGCCATACCTCCCGGGGGTGTGTAAGTCCGAATAGAGCTGGCTTTTGGACTGGTCCAGGGGGAAAAGGCTGCTGGCCAGGCTGCGCTCGATCTTGGCCAGGCTGTGGCTGGGAGCGACCAGGCGCTCCAGGTCGCCCTCGGGCTGGAAGCGGTTGAGCGCGCCGAGGCCGAAGGTGACGGTCAGGACTGCGGGCACGGTGAGGAAAAAGACCGGGTGCCGGCTCACGCACGAGCCCAGCCTGTGGCAGAACGACTGGAGCCCTCTGCGAAGCACCTGCCGCAGCATCCTCCACCAAATCCAGCTCGCAGGCGCTCCCGGCCGTCTTAAAAAGCACATGTGACATGTGTAAGCGCCGGGCTACCCCCGCCTCTCCCCCGTCCCACCCGCTCCGGGTCTGCCCCTCGCCCCACCGCCGCCGCCGCCTTCCCGCCCCCTCCGCGCTCACCCCTCACCACTCCACCCGGTCTTTCCCCGGCCCCACCTCCATGCGCTCCTACTACTCTTTCAAACACTGCAGCAAGTTGCAGCAGGGCGGGCAGGTACCCACCGCGCGCGGGGGCGGGCGGCGGGCGCTGCGGGGGCCCTCTGGCCCACCCCTCCCCGGCCGCCTCCCGCGCCCCCTCTCACCGCATGAGCAGCGATCCCGCGGTCTAGCCCTTCATCCCGGTGCTGCAGTCCCACGGCCACCCTCGCTGGAGGTGGTTCCGTGCGGAGCGTCCCACAGATGTGGATTTCCTCTCCGTCCTGGTGGGGTTCGGCGCCTAACTGGAACCATGTGGCTCGGTGTTGTAAGAAGCAGACATGTGCCCCACGAGGGGGGGCGGGAGGAGGGAGAAGAGAAGGGAGGGGGCGGGGGATGCAGGGGGGACGGCAGCTAAGCTTTTCCTTTTTTAAGAGGCTGACAGTTATTTTTAGAGTTTTGTTTTCCCTCTTCCCTCCCCGCTGGAGTGAATGGAAGAGGAGATGGTGAAGGCGCCGCTGGCCCATTGGAGCGGTGGCGATTAGAACCTAAGAAGGGGGTTAGGGGTGGGGGGCTGGGGTGGGGGGCGTGGAGGACTCGAGGGCTTTTGGCGGAGGCAGCCTTTTCGCCTTTCTGGATTCCCCGTGCTCTCTAATTCGGCTTGTCGGCCCAAGAAAAGGAGCAGAGAGGATGATGCTGCATTTTTAACATACCACAAAGCATGCAAAGGATTTCCTTGCAGCGCCTTCCACGCTGTCATTCCCCAGGCTGGGCGACTGCAGCCGAGGCTGCCAGAGACCCCAACTATTGGCGGTGCGTTGGGCTCTAGGGATCCTTCCTTGCTCTGGTGATTGGAGAAGAGGCATTTGCCAATAGCAGTCGCCTGTGGCTTAGGCGTGTGCGTGTGTGTGTGTGCGTGTGTGTGTGCGTGTGTGTGTGTTGGAAGTGAAGGTCCACAGACAATATGTGGTTCCTCATAAAATATTACATTCACTTTCTGTACTTTTGAAGTTTAGGACCAAAAGTTCTTAAGGCTTGTTTCAATCTCCTTCCCCCATTTTCCCTTCCACCCGTCATCCCCGAGAACCTCCATTTTCTCGTGGGAGTGGAACTCCAGAAACAAACGTCTGGGGACACCCATGACAAAATCTTTGAATAAAGAAGGTGAGATAGGTAGGGGGAAACACATTGGAGTCAACTAATGTATGAAACAGAGTCACCTTCACCACATGGGAAAGAAAACTCCCACCAGGTGCAGTTCCTCCCTCCATACCCAACAGTGTGAAGGTGAAGAACCCTTACCTGCAAATCAGATCAATTTCAAAAGCTTTAATATTAATAAGTGTGTGTATTGTTATTTTCTACCTATTGGGGCTCTCACAAAATCACGTTCCAAAAAGAATATGAAGGAATTTTGAGGCCAAATTCTAAAGTTTGATTGTAAACAGGAGATCTGCTTTCCGAAGTTTCTGTTCTTTCTGTATTTGCCCTAATAGAGAAGACTGAGCTTCAAGAGACGATTCCGCTCACACTCTCCTAATCACACTGAAAGGGCCCGTCCTTCATGAGATGCTTAGAGATGTACCCATCAATGCATACAAACAAGCCAAAGGACTTATCCGCTTAATTGACGCCTTTATTTTTGCTAGTGTTTCAGTTCTTCAGTTAAGAGACCAATGAGACAGCAGAGAGCTCAGAAACAGGGTCAATGCTAAAGGTGGTGTTGTTCATAAAATTAAAGAAAAATCTTAGCCTTTTAAAATGGAAAGTGTTTTTGGTGACCATTCAGCTTGAATTCCTACCCAGGGCAGAAATACCTTCTGTAATATCCCCAATGGTTCACTATCCAGCCCCAAGCTGCAAAATTCTCACATCTAAAAACTCACTAATTTGTCTAGAAATCATTCTGTTGTTAGAGTTTCCTGTCTGTTCTCACAACATTCATGGACTGGTTCTCCCTCTCCTTCACCAGGAAGAGTCCCCTTTGCCTCCAACTGTCACTTCATGTAATGTATTCTGTTAGTGCCACGTGATGGGAAATTGCTTTTGGCTATACAACAAAGAGGAAATGTGTCTGTCATTCATTTTCTACATCCTCTTCATTATATTAAGTATATTTGGCCATATCACCTACATGAAATTTTCTAATAGTCGTTTTGCAAAATATGGAAGAATAGATTTTAGGAATGGATGGTGTTGAGCAAGTTATCTAGCCCATCTTATAGATAAAAACATTTTGTAGATAAAGAACTGTAGAGATTAAGTTACTTAAAGGCTACCGTCAGAGTCATTTGCAGAGCTGACACCAGTGTCTGGTCTTGGTCTCTTGTTTCTGGGCCCAATGCATTTTCCCTGGCAGCTTTGGATTGGCCGCATCCCTCTCTTTCTCACAGTGAACAAATATGTCAGAATTGTTTCCTCTCTTCGTACTCTCTCCATTTCCCACATCTCCTTCCCCAATAAATTCAATAGGATTAGAGAAGAATAAACATACCAATAGATAACTGACTAAATAATTTATGATACATCCCTAAGATGATACATTGTTGTAAGATTATAATGACATGAAAATATGTTCACTAAATGTTAAGTGAAAAAAGTACGTACAGTATGAAACCACTTTGAAAAATAGACCCATAGAAAAAAAGATTAAATCTCCATTAAAATGTCTGCTTATTGCAAGATGATAGGATTACAGGTAATTCTTTGAAAGAAAATAACTTCTAAATTTTAGAACAGTTCAGGTTTGGGAAAAATTGTGAAGACAGTACACAGAGGGCCCTTATACCTCACACCCAGTTCCCTATTATCAATATCTCACATTAGTATGGTACTTTCATGACGATTCATGAACCAGTATTGACACCTTATTATTAACTGAAGTACATACTTTATTCAGATTTCCTGAGTTTTTACTAACATCATTTTTTGTTCCAGGATCCCATTCAGGACACCACATTGCATTTAGTCATCCTATCTCCTTAGGATCCTCTTGGCTCTGACAGTTCTCAGATTTTCCTTGTTTTTGATGACCTTGACAGATTTGAGGAATGCTGGTCAGATACTTTGTAAAATGTCCCTCAACTGGGAATTGTACGATGTTTTTCTCATGATTAGACTGGGGTAAGAAGTTTTGGGGAGGAAGAACACGGAGGTAAAGTGCCCCTTTCATTACAGCTTATGAAGGGTATATTCTATCAATGTGACTTGTCACTACTAATTGTAAAGTTACTCTTCTTCCATCCACCTTTCCGCACTGTCTTTTTTGGAAGGAAGTCACTATGTACAGCCTACACTTAAGTAGTGGGAGTTATGGTCCACCTCCTTCGTCCTTGAGACTGGAGTCTCCATAAGTTATTTGGAATTTTTCTGCATGAGATATTTGTCTATTCTATTCTATTCCATTCATTTGTTCAATATTTTGTATCAATAAAGATTCATGGATATTTCTAGATATTTCTTTATATATTGCGTTATAATTTGATACTACTTTGTTTACTTTGTTGCTCAAATCGTTCTAATTTTGGTCATGAGGAGCTCCTTTGACATATCCCATTATTGTGGGATACCTTTAAAAAAATTATTCCTTATTTTCTGGCACTGTAAGATATTCCAGGCTCATCTTGTATCTTTCCTGCCCCAGTCCTAGAATCACCCATTTCTCCAAGGAGCCATGCTTTGTTTTATTGTAGAATGGTAACAGAAACAAAGATCTGGGTGCCATATGTGCTGCTTGCTCTTGGGATGTTATTGCTTCTAAGCCCTCTCAGCTGACAGAGAAAGGAAATACATGGGTCTATACTAATCCCTGTATATGTGTATCTATATATAGTTCTTTATGTAACTCTCTGTATCTATATCAAGCTAAATATGTTTATACTTATGTCTCCAACTATAATCTATCGCCAGATGGATAATTGTAGCCTCTTCCCCTTGCTTACCTGTAACCTCCCACTCCAACAGTGAGAAACCGGCTCTGTGAGAAATTTTTAAATAACTTTGCTATAATGAAAACATATTAACTTTTAATTAGAAAAAATGTTTAAGGGAAAGAAGGAAAGCATGGTTTCTTAATTTTGATACTGTAAAAGTTAATGCCAAATACCATTATGGAAGAAAAGAATGGTTTCTTAATTGTGATACTGTTAAAAGCTAATGCCAGGGCTTCCCTGGTGGCGCAGTGGTTGTTAGTCTGCCTGCCGATGCAGGGGACACGGGTTCGTGCCCCGGTCTGGGAAGGTCCCACATGCCGCGGAGTGGCTGGGCCCGTGAGCCATGGCCGCTGAGCCTGCGCGTCCGGAGTCTGTGCTCCGCAACGGGAGAGGCCACAACAGTGACAGGCCTGCATACCACAAAAAAAAAAAAAAAAAAAGCTAATGCCAAATACCATATTAGAAAGATAAATTATATGCTAAAATTAAAGGAAATGTTAGCAATGTTCTAGATCAACCTACAGGTTAATCTGCACTAAAACATCAGTGGATACCAATCATGTGATAATTCTAGTGAATCTGATGTAAAATCAAGCTTAATGTAAAGCTGAAAGCAGTGTACTTAGGGACCAATCAATAACAACACAATAATCTGTACTGTTTAGTTCATACAGGATTTGCCTTTTCTGATATATCTTAGTCAAGATCAGTCTTCAAGACTTGGAACTAAGTCGGATTTTATCCACTTGTCCTTTTGTAGGATAGGATAACGCAAGTAGGTGAACTTGGACACAGAACATCTGAGTTATAGGTTAGCTCTACAAATCACTTCGTGGGTGTTTTGGGCAAGACACCCAACTCTCTGAGCCTCAGTTTTTGTTGTTTATAAACTTGAATTATATTAGCCCACTTGTTCACTTCAGTCATATCACTATTCACCAAAACTCTTTACCGCTGGTGTATTAATTAATGCTGTAATACTAGCAATTGTAACAAATAATCCTCTAAAACTCAGCAGTGTAAAACAATGAAAGTTTATATCTCATTCAAGGTTAATAGTCTATTTTGGATATTCCTCCTGAGCAGGAACAGGTAGAACACAGAGACCTGTTTCCATGGGTCACTCATACGGCTTTCAAGGTCATTCCTAAGACCATTTCCTAGCCAGGCAGCTGAAAGGGGGAGAGAGCCTGGAGGAGCACATCTGGAAGGTTTATGGCACAGTCTGGAAAGAGGCATACATCACTTCCTCTTATATGCCTCTGATTAGAACTTAGTCACAGAGAAGCTGAATAATGCAGGTTAGCTGTGTATCTAGGGAGAAGAGGAAATGGGTATGATGATCATGGTGCCAACTCTCTCATCCCTTTCCTGGATTCTCTTGCCCTCT